TGCACGTACCTGTTCTGGCAACAAAGCAATGTTTAAGGGGCTGTCTGCTGCAATGGAGCGCACGTCGTGAGCCTTCGCTATGGGGCGGCTACGCAGTAGCGTGAAGGCATCCGTTGGCAATTCCTGTGCTGGTTCAAGTTCCACACCTCCCTCTTTGAAGAAATCACGGGTAAACTTATCTGCATCGTACAACATGTATGTACGACCATAGAATGTGATTGGTTCACCCACGCGGAAATCTGCAAATGTAATGGGAGTACCATCATGCATGGGGACAATATGTCGCTTGAGAGCTAGAGGAAATGCAAATCCAGAGTTGTCCGGGCTCTGCTCGGTCACACTCATTGTGTTATCTTCCAAGAATACATTGAACACAACTTTGCGCAAGCGTTCCCGTTCAATGGAGCTCTCCGGTACTTGTTCTTTTGTGTAACCATAAAAGCGTAATACCCGCCCACTGAGGTCATCATTGACAGTCTGCTGATAGCTGGCGTCTAACCGCCGAGAGTCCTTGCCGTCGGCAAGAGTGCCATCCACAGCCTTTGTGAGAGAGGACGTTTTCTCCATATTACTTCTGGTCAAGTCAATGGGCACACTTTTAATGGAGTTCACTGAATAAGGCTTCGGACGGTGAGCTTGCATGCGGTGGTAATTCCGTCGCAACATCTCCTCCCCGCATGTCATGCCAGGCACCATAGGGAGTGCGAACTCCTTCTTCATTACCCCGGACTGCGTATACGCCATTCTCTCCTCTTTTTTTTTCTTTTTTGTATGTATGTGCAGCTGACTCACGTCCTTTCCCTCAGTGCCTTCAACCGCTCCCTAAGTCCAAACTTTTTTTCCCTGTCCCACTTTATTCTCTATCAACAGCCACTCCTGTCGTGTAGCTTCGACTCCAGACTCTCTTTCTCCCCGTGTAATCCACAGTTTGCAAAAAAAAATAAGAAAAAAAAAGAAAAAGCCATCATTGCGCCCAAACTCAGAGTTTGCGTGAGGGCGAGGGAGACAGAAGAATGCAAAAACGCCCAATAAGAACAGCAACAGGCATTGTTTTTTACATGGCCCTCATCCCCCTCCCACCAGAGACAATCAAACACACAGTAAACAAAAAAATAAATAAATAAATAAATAAATAACATGACAAATAAAAACGCTCGAGCAAAATAAAAGCAAACAAACATTTTTACATCCTTGCCAATGCCTAGTTTTTATTACATTTTTTCTTTTCCTGCTTCATTTTTTATTTTTCCTGATGAAATCATAATGACTAGTAACCACCCACAACCACATCTTGATTTCTTCCATCAGTTCCCCACCGGAACCGCGTGCATCCTCCTCCACATCAGTTAGGTGGTACAACGGAAATGCTGACTGATGTTCGTCTCATTATGGAGCCTTCCGCCGAGGATATGGTGCTGCTTCCGTAGTCATCGAACATCACACGGGGAAATACCACAGAAGCATGTAAAGCGCCATTCGTTGATGATGAGATCACAACACCCGGAAATGACCACAAGCTGTTTATCATTGAGTTATGTACCGTCAGGCGTGCGAACACGACCCGCCGTGTGGTATCAAACAACTGAATTAGTCCATCCCGGTAGCCAATAGCAAGGTAATACCCTTCAGCACAAAAAGAGGCGGTACAGGCAGCAGAAGAGGAAGACGGTGCAAAAGATATACTGTTGTTTAAGGAGGAGGCGTCACAAGGAAAATTCCGTGAACGACGCTGGCGAAGCGCTGCTTGATATTCCGACACAGATCCAGTGTAGAGAATGCGATAGAGATAATTTCCATCATTACTGAAAATGTCCACAATAGGAGAGTCCCGTAGCACAGCCACTCCCAGATCAGCGTGTCCAATGGGCTCAAGCGTCAGTACTTCATCTCCTGTGGGGTGCGAGCTTATTGAGGCGTTAAGCACATCCTTTTCACAGAAAATATGAGTTTCCACCGAGCTATCTGGATCGGTGCCAAAAAACAGCTGCTTCAGTGCAGCACCTTCAGCGTAAATAAGCGCCAAGTTCACCTTCCCACTCGCCGTGGGTACCAAATCCAAGATGTAGTTGCTGGGGTACATCAACAAACCAGCGGACTCACCCTGAAGCACATCGGCCAATAGGGAACCAACGAGCGTTCGCACAAAAACAGGCATAGTTTTTTGAGCCAAATTTCCCACATACTGCACCATAGTGCCATCACGTAACTGCAAAATCACAGTGTAATCGTATTTTTCGGATCCAGCAAAGGTGACAATACTGCTACGAAGAGGATATATATGCGTCAATGGTCGAATAGGAAACATCAATTCGGCCCGTTTCGTATCTATAACCAAGAATGCACCTTCCTGTGCAAGAATACCCTTCTGTAAATTTATCACGGCCAATTCACCATCTGGCTGACTGGGAGTAAAAGATCTTGCAAGGTATGGTGGAACTTCTCTCTCTTCCAGTTTTTGAAACGATATGTTTTGAGACCCTTCCATAACGCATTGGAATATCATCAAGCTTCCATTTTCGCAGCCCACAAGAAGTCTCATTGGCTCCACGCACCGTATTGCGGTGACCGTATGCGATGTCTTTAATTCGGGTTCTTGGGGCAATGGAAGAAAGTCGGTTGAGCTGAAAAGACAAATGCCTCCACCCGATTCCACTGGTGCCAGAATAAAATTGCCGCCTGGCAGGGCATCCAGCGAATGCGCACTCAATCCCTTAATCCACTGACCTCCACGAGCTCCGGTAAAGTCCATAAATACAAGCGACCCATCGGCCCCAGCACACATAATGCTATCCCATGTAGAATCCTCACGCAGCTGAAGAAGCAATCCCGTAACACCGCTTGTATGAGGGCAAAAGGAGGAGAGAACTACCGGTTTTCCCTGTCCTTCAAGAAAATCAACATATGAAAAAATTCGAATCGATCCATTATCGACCCCAACGATAGCAATTTTGGAGTTTGAGTCAAGAACAACAATTCGTGCTCCGTAGGAAACCAATGGAGCCACACGACCACGCGATGGAAGTAATAAGAAAGCCCCATCCAATGTACTGCAGCTGAGTACAATATCTCCATCGCCAGTGACATCTGTAACGTATGCCTTATGAACTTTACTTTCCCATTTGAGTGTCATCATTGAATTTGCGCTTGTGTCCAGTGTCCATTCCTTAATAAAGCCATCGTCGTGGCCGATCAGTAGAGAGAGAGGTCGATGAGACTGGTGTGCATTTTTATCACTGTTGCACTTCGAACCGTAAAGCCGACGTAAGACAGTTATGGTACCGCCAACTTTGTGCTTCAGCAACGACTCTCCTGTTTCTGCCCTCCACAGAATTAGTGAGGTGTGCGATGAACTCCCCAGGATCATCCCATGGAAGTACAGAGATACCACAGCCATACCGTTCGTCGCCAATTTTTGAATTGGTCCCGTGAGACTTTTTTTAAGATCCCAAACATGCACGAACTGATCTACACTGGCAGTTGCCACCTTTGCATCATCCTCGTCACTTACTGCAATAGATGTTACACGTCCATCGTGAGATGAAAGCCGACGAAAAAGTTCAAACGTTTTAGCATCCCAAACGTACACCCTTGTTTCTACATCCGTGTTGTCTCCCTCTTTCTCCACCCTCGCATATAGATACGTTGCCGTGACAACGCACTGAACAACAGAGCAGTCATGGTGACTACAGATAGCCAGCGGCTGCACTGTGTCGGCGTCCCAGACAAGCAGTTTCCCCTTGTGATGCAAAGAAATCATAACAAGAGGCTTTTCCTTATCGGAGGCATACTGTCTTCCTTTTGCAGCCAAATTCTGTACTCCGCGAGTGCCCGCGGCAATCACAGGTTTATCCAAATTCAAAGGCTGAATCAACTTTGTTTTTTTCAGATTCAAAGGACCCGTGTAACGCTCCAGCCCGTTGATGCCAAATGGAGTTGACACCAATCGCATATTAAACGTCCCCAATAATTCCTCGGCCATTGACTGTTGCGTTCAAATAACAAAAAAAAACAAAAACAAAAACCTTACCTTGGCAAATTAAACCAAATCCTTCCCGTCCAAAAAAAAAAAAGAAAATTAGTTTTGAGAAGAGTAATGGAGGACAAAAAATAATAATAATAATAATAATAATAATAATAATAATAATAATAATTGAAAAAGAGGGCAGAAGAACAACAACAAAAGGAGTCATATGTATGCACGCATATACACACATGTATCATCAGCTGCTCACATAAGAGGTAACCTCTGAGTGATTAAGTGAATCACTTGCGTCCAATTCTGAGGTACTCAACACGTGAAAATTCCGGCCAACCGTCGATGCTGCACGAAGTTGACTGAGTGCCTCGACTGTTAGCATCTGACTGTGGCCTTCACCACCTGTGTGGGCGTCCTGAGTTGAACCAGCTGGTGGAGGTCCTTGAGACGCCCATTTTGCCGCATCACCTGCACACAGCAAAGAAACACGATAAATGCCGTTATTTCGTACAACAAAAGAACTCAATCCAGTTTCCATGGCATCGTTCCAAACCATACAAGGCTTATCGGAAACAACATATTTCATTCGATACCCCGTGGTTTCTGCGCCATATTGAGCCTTCTTTGGCAAGCGTTGCTGAGTGATCTCAAAGAGCGCCGGCACCGTTGCGTCCCCGACAAAGGTACCTGTCGTGTACACATCCAAAGGGATATGTTGTAAAACAAAGCGATTCCGACGCCGTTTTAGTGTTTTCCATTTCTTTTTGCATATTCTTCGATTATTATCGACACTATACAAGAACTGTTTCGTTCCAGTATATATCGACCGTAAAGGACGGTTCCAGACTTCTGTATGCTGTTGGGTGGCAAACAACAGTCCATCCATTCCTGAAGGTGCAATTCGCTCTTGATCGTGCGCTTCATGAGGAAGCGGAAAAAACAATCCCCTCCTCCCGGGCGTCTAGGAATCAG